TATTTATATTTATATATTTAAAATATTTAATATGTTATGTAATATGTATTACATAAAATTTGTATATTTATATATATATATATGTATATATTAAATATTTGAATAAAATATAAACAAATCATTTATAATAATATACGAGTCATATGTATTTTAAGAAAAGAAAAGAAAAATAAAAAAAAAAAAAACTAGAGAAAAAAGAAACGAGAAAAAAATAACCATAATAGTCTTCAATTCACATCGCTGCACATTTTCATTTTATTTTTTGATTCCACTCGTGCACGCATTTGGACGATCACATAAACGAGTCTCGAAACATTTTTGGCCCGTTGAAAAATACGAAAAAGCACCTGTCGTGTCCGCGTACTTCATGCAACGAGTCGTCGGTCACTCGTTAAATAACTATCGAGAATGGAACACGAGCGTATCACCGTGCCATGCTTCGTTAGTTCACTTGTCGATATATTAATGTAGATAAAATAAATTTGTGAATTCCATTTGACCGAATGGCAACGTCAATCCTATGTATAATAGCACTGTCGATTAGTATCGTATGAATAGGTAGAATATTCTGTTAGTAATTGCATTATTTTTTATATATCATAGTTCAATTAACATAATTTGATTCTTTTAATGTTAATTATATGAAGTAAAGAGAGAAAGAGAGAGAAAGAGAGAGAAAGAGAGAGAGAGAGAGAGAGAGAGAGAGAGAGAGGGAGAGATAGAGAGAGCAAATTAAAATATTTTCATATGACATATATATAGATACATTTTGTTTCCATACAAATATTTTTCTAAAAAATATATATGATAACTGATCACAACAAAGTTTCAAATATATGGATACTCATATGTGTGTACGTGTGTGTATGTGTACATGATCGACCAAAAATTCCCAGGCGATTTTAAAAATCAATTATAATCTCTCGCGACTTCTTTATTTATTTTTTAATTTTTATACCTTATCGGATCGTACAATCACAGGTTTAAGAACTTTGTTAGAATGTTTAAAAATAATTTAAGAAAGAGATTTCGAAGAAAGAGTAATTAAAAGATATTGTCTCGTTTAGTTTTACTATTGTCATCATATCGTTTTATATTTATCGTATCGTAAAAGACGAGAGTAACAAAAAAGAAAGAATAAATAAATACATAAAAAAGAAAATAAAAAAGAATATATATATATATATATATAAAAGTTACCTGTTTGTTTGAAGATCAACGTGAAGTTTGTTGGAACGAAAAAGGGAACATAATGAAACCTCTTCGTTCTAATTTCGGAGGGCAAGGAAATCTTTTGAACGTTATTTGGCGAACTGTAAACAGAGGGTCGCGTAATAAAGGGTTACCCTCACCAATTTTACCCAACTCTCCATTTTCGTGTACTTTATTCCGCTTTTGCCCTCGTTTTTCTTATCATTTTCTCGATCGTAATTCTTATTCTCTCTGACATAGATATATTTATTGTAAGGGATTTAATTATTTCATGGATACATCTCTTGGTACATCGGCACATAGGAGTCACGTTGGCAAATTCTCTACGGAGTCGTTTGGTTTCCAGTCAGAGTCGTTTGCTAGCTCGGAAATCCTTTGGATATTTTAACAGTCTATCTATCTAGTACCTTACTCTGAGATTTCTAGAAAGTCAAAGAATTCCCTAACACGTACGACTTGTTTTTGGATCAAACAATGAGCCTCGTCCGTTGGCGTAACTTTCGTAGAACGAAACGTAAACGTCTATAAGAAACTGTATTTTTGTTGTATTATTCATCGGGAATATTTTCATTCATTGAAATATTTTCTATAGTAGAGAGAAAGAAAGGGAGAGAGAGAGAGAGAGAAAGAGAGAGAAAGAGAGAGAGAGAGAATCGTAAATTGTTTACGACCTATTTGTTCTTATATGACCTCTATATTTCTTAACCTTCAATTTGTTTAATATGATAGTCGTAGTTCGTTCGTAACAATTAGTATCGTACGAGAACGTGAAAGGTAAGCTTTAATTTTAACTTTCTTTTCATTTTTTTCAATATAATTGAAGATAATGTATTTCTCAATATATTTCGTATTAATTAAAATCTACCTGTTATTTCTACTTATACGTGCTCGAACAATATTTCATTTATAATGTTTATAAAATTAATATGACTCATGTTTATAAAATTTATAATGACTTATAAAATTGTTAATGATTAAACATAGATATATATATATATATATATATATATATATATATATATATATTAAATTGTATAATTTTGTTAATCACAATAAGTGATACATAATAGGCAAAAAAAAAGGTATCTTGTTTTTTTATTCATAAACAGTCGAAATATATATCGATTTATACAAATATACCATGGTGCCCGAATATTTTTCTCATTCATTGTATGTACATATTTAGTTTAATCTTAAAGTTACATTAACGTTTAATTGTAATAATTAATTCTTTATTACAAAAGTGAAAAAGCTTTGTAATTTAATAACATTATTTCAACAATCCGTTTCTCGAACAATTTCTGATATTAATTGTTATCTTAATTATTATTATCCCTTGGGTGATAATATATAAATATAAATGAGTGTTGTTTTATGCGCAATACAACGTTTACAATAGTTCGCACACATGAACACCTGCATTTGTATACCATTCATTTGTAATCAATTGCACGACTTTTCTATCTCTCTTTTTCTATTTAAAAAAGGGAAAAAAATTACAAAAAAAAAGAGAAAAAAAAAATAAAATAAAAAACCTAGATGAGAAAAAAGAATAACCAATGATTCATACGCGTTATATGATTCATAGTCCGACTATAAAATCTCTCACGGAAATTTAAAAACGTAGAAAAAAAAACAAGAATGTACATTGTTATTCGTTCGTTATAACCAGCATATATGTATACCGTACTCGTAAAAAGTAATCTCTCTGTTAGGCATATTTTTCTTCTACATTTATAATCTTCGAATTAAAAATCATTTAATGTACTACTTATGCATATACGCACATGTATTATATTATTATATATCGACTTATAACAATCTTTTAGCGATATCGTATATAAATTTTTCTTTGTTAGAAGGCAAACGCGGTGATTGCACGAAGCTAAAGATTGAAATTAAAAAGTAGAATCAAAGTAGTAAGTACCATGCTGACGTTAAACTTTTCTAAGATGTAATTATTCGTTGCTAAGTCCTTTATAATAAAGACAAATGAGCGTCTCCTTCCTTACTTTCTTTCCCTTTCTCTCTCTCTCTCTCGTTCGTTCGTTCGTTCGTTCTATCGTTCTCTCTTTCGTTCTCACTAGCGTTCAAGACTACGGATGCTTTCGAAGATATAGGACCAGTAACGTTTCTCAAATCGCACCGGTTGTGTAACGCCTAACGATTCTTTAACTTCTCTGAACGTCCAACTTCGAGACTGTGAATATCGCGTTAAGCGTTCTCGGTTAATCGCTAACGGCTTGTTTTCAAACTACCAAAAGATCTTCATGATCTTGATATAGGGAAGGTACTTCGTAACGACTTAATGTTGAGTTGCAACTCAAGCCTTTATTTCTTTCTTTTTTCTTGTTTTTTTTTCTCTTTTCTTTTCCCTCTCCTTAAAAACGACGAAAAAATCTTCTTCGTAATAAACAAATGAATTTTTATCGAACTCGTTCTTATATATGTTTTTATTTTATCTGGAATCGTATTACACGTCTTTTTTTCTTTTCTGTTTGTTTTTTTGTTTTTGTCTTTTTTTTTTCTTTTTTTTTTTTTAAAGAAACTTTCCGCACATGTTTTTTTCACTCATGCTTACGCTTTGTATTTTCATTTCGTGTTTTCGCTCATGTTGAATTTTTCACGCGAACGATATTGAGAGTATTAAAATATTCGAATTTATATATTCGAATCATTTAAAACTTGTTATATTTTTTCATGTATTACATTTTTATCAGAGAAGTTTGTTAATAAATTTACGATATTAAGTTTTACGTTTACATATTAGATATTTATCTCGATGTATATTTTTATGAAATACAATTTCTTTTTTATCTTTACTAATGTTAGATTATTTTTATATCGTGCTTCTTTAAAGTTGATATTACTTAAGGGATATTGAAATAGATTGAGACATACAGGTTTTTTAATGTATCGAAATATAATTATCTTCGACGACTCTTCTTTTTCTATTTCTATTTCTTCTTCTTTTTCTTCTTCTATTACGTCTATCCTCTGACACGTGTGCACAGACAGATACATATGTAGAAACGTGTATATAGTTATATACGTATCTACGACGATACGTATGTACCATAAAGGGAATAAGATATTTGAATTCAAATAGGCGTTGTAGGACACGAGGACTTGTCAGAGAAACGGAAGATTCGATTTACATTATATTTACATTGCAATAACGTAACTCAATGTGTTTTATATATAAACGTGTATATTTGTATATATATATGTATATATATATATATATCTTCATGAAATCTCAATCTTTGAAACTAAACTCAATCTTTGAAATCAACTAAATTATTTAAAAATATTTATTATCGTTATTATGAAATATTTTACAAGATTTGAAATAATCGAAAATGTCTATTCTCGATTTAATCGAACTTTAATAATATAATATCTTTAATCATGCAAACAAATTAGAATGACGTTAAGAATAAAAATTAACGAGCTTATATATCTTCATGAATACTCAATACGATTTGACATCAACAAAAGTATTATTTTTAAAAATATTTATTATCGTTATTACGTAATATTTTACAAGATTCGAAATAATCGAAAATATCGATTCTTGATTTAATCGAACTTTAATAATATATTTTTAATCGTCCAAACTCTTTTAATATCATTCAAACAAATTAGTATGATATTAAAAATTAAGATTAATGAGTTTATTTGAATATGAATGTAGGATGTATTAAAAACGATAAATAAAATAATTCGTTATAAGACGAAGAATTCGTCGTATTCGTAATTTTACTTACATAAGTATTTTGTTTCAGGTGTCTTGGGTACGAAGACGTGGCGAGGATTTTCATTTACTTACAATCGGTCTTGATACGTATGCGAGCGACTCGAGATTTTCATTGGAGTTCGAAGGCCCGAACGATTGGCGATTACAGTTGAAATCGGCGACTGAAAGGGACGCAGGACTTTACGAGTGTCAAGTCAGCGTACATCCGCCATTAATCAGAACGGTTCATCTGTCGGTATCAGGTGAGTATCTCTCACTCACCTTAACCGATTCATATTTCAATATATACAATGTATAGTATAAGTAAGTAGATATATTAGATATGTTGCGATATATCGATCCCGATATTCAGTTATTTTTAACGAGTCTACCCATCTCACTTATTCGACCGTAAAGAAGTTTTCGTCATTTTTCATTGAAAATGTCAGAAGAAAGATTCACTTAGTTTGATCGTTCGAAGAAGAGGACAAAGAGAGAAAGAGGTAGATAAAGGGAGAGGGAGAGAGAGAGAGAAAGAGAGAGAGAGAGAGAGAGAGAGAGAAGAAGGACGAGTTAGTAGGAAAGTAAATAAAACGACATAAAAGTTTACATTGGTGAAGGTGCTTCTCGAAACAAGGATGTCACGGTAAGTTGCTTGATCGAAAGCACTTACACACCGTCGAAACGAAGTCAATTTCTCAAAGCGTACGAACAATGAACTGGGTGGTAGAGGGGGTGGGGGGAGAAGGGATGATTGGAACGTTAGAAATAGCGTAGGGTAGGAGGATGATAGAGAGTGGTTTGAGAAAAGGGTTACATCCATTATTCTCTTAATCTCCCTTTGTAAAGCGAACTCTACCGTAAAGTTACTCGGTCGAGATACATAATCCGCGAGCGCGTGCGCATTTTCGTTGGGGCATAAATCACGATGGTAGCGCATCGTTAGGGTCGTCCTTGTCGGTGGCATAATGGCGACTTTGCCGGCCGTAACGATGTCCTCGTGGTACTCACCTCATCCTATATCTTTAGCTAGCTAGCTAGCTAGCTAAGTACTTATCTACGTTCCTTAATTGAAGCTATGGATTCTCTCTTTGGATCCTTCCATTTCGTTCAATTCAATCAGTCTATAATAATCGTTACGATGCCTCACAGGTCTAAAGGTTTTTATTACAGATTTCATTCGTTAACTTTCTATCCGTTCACGATTAATCGAACAACGATCAGCACATTTAGAGATCCATAGAGATAGTAAGATATACGTTTCTACTTTGATACTTTTTGGATCGTTAGAAAACATATCCCGTTTGTTTCTCTTCGAGTGGTTAGCCCGAGAAGTTACTACTAATGGGTAATTTGTGGTTGCCGAGTAAGTGCTCATAAATCCTCCTTTTTTTTTTTTTTATTCTCGATAGTCCTTCGAAATTCAAATGAGATAACTCTTCTTCGAGTTATATATATATATTATATATATATTATATGTATATTATATATATATAATATATATTATATATATATTATATATATTATATATATATAATATATATATATATGTATATATATATATATATATAAAATGATTTTAGAGAGGGTTGCTATATTAGACCAAAATGAATTTCCATTGATTTGACGATAACGTTGTTCTTCTCTCGATCAAATCGATTTAATTATCGCATTGTTTTGTGCTTCCTATGATATTCTTATTCGATTATTCCCAAAGAATTTTGCCTATGAATAGTTTTAGTAATGAAAACTAACTATCAATGAAATTTTATAAAGGAAATATCCATTACCTATAAGATGATTTAATAATGAATCTTTTGGGAACGAACGAATCGGTACCTTTGATATTATTAAATGTATTGAAAAGTGTCGAGGGATATACCATTATAAATTGAAAGAAATGAAAGTATTAAAAGTAATCAAGAAGATGTATTTAATTAGGCATTTATAATGATTCATGCTTTATAAGAATATTAATTAGTCTTTTCTGAACTGGTGCAACGTTTTAAATTACCGGATCGTTCGGTTAATAATTCTTCTTTTCTCTTTTCTCTTTTTCTTTTTTTCTTTTTTTTTTTTTTTTCTTCCTTTATCCTTTCTTCTTTTTGAATTTTAACGAGGCAGTTGTTCCGACATTATTACTCTTAATAATCCATTCTCTCCGCACGAGAAACGTATTACGAACGAATGAAATAATGCTACCGCGCAATATGTCGCGAAGGGGAAAGTTACTTCTATTTAGCCTTCAACGATCTACTTTATTACAAACTCTAACAGACAAACTTATAACTTAACGACATGATTCTACGTACTGTATTCGACGTATACACGTATGTAGAGATATGTATAGATGGATGTAGTTGTATACGTGCCATTTGTATGACGTACTACAATCATCCAATTTATTCCCTAGAGGTAAAGTTCTCAATTTTCTCGCACTAAGCATATACGAGATTTCATTTACTTCTACAAATCGTTCGTTTATACAAACGAAGAATGAATTTTTATGAAAAAAAATTCTTTTTTCAATTACAATTATTCTTAAGCTTTCCGTTGTAATAAATTTTCATTGCTATTTACGATCTTTCAATTTGATCGATTATAATTTTTATGACACATTCTGTAATATAATTGTTTTAAAGAAAAGCATCAAACGTCTTGTTAAGCATCAAACGTCAGATGTTTAAAGAAAATGAAAGATTTATTTTAAATCGAATGAAAAAATATTTTTCTCATTCTTTTTTTCCTTTTTCTTGTTTTTGCTCTCTCTCTCTCTCTCTCTCTCTCTCTCTCTCTCTCTCACTCTCTCTTTTCTCTCATTAATAAAAAATATTTGTATTTTCTTTCGTGTTCGAATTTGCGATTAAAGATTAATATCTTAAACGTAAAACGTGACTCCTTTAATTAAGTCTACGAGGTGCTGCTTTGTCGTCATAAATCGAAAGGCTGACTGGAACTAAAGCGAGAACTATTAGGTACCTGTCGTGTCTTCCGGCTTTGTCGACGTTTTATCGTCGCGAACACTAACTTGCAATTAGTTCCCTCTTTTCGCTTTAACTCGGACTCTTCTACTTATATGGGTGTGTCCCTTTATTCTGTCTTAAGATATAATGGAATTAAACATTTCAACTGGAAGTATTTTAACAAAATCTTTCGGTACTTCCTTTTTCAGAATATTATAACTGGAATTTAATTTTGCAAATAAATTACAATGAAACACGAACGTCATGTTTTTCCTCTCGAACGATTAGAATAATGTTATTTCCTTTTTTTTTTTTTTTTAACCTATGTAATAATCGTAAAACATTGCATCCAATTATTCTTTAATAAAATAAATAATAATTAATTATATATAATAAATAATCAAATAAATAATATTTATTTATAATATATATATATATATATATTTATCTTTAATAATATTTGCCCTTTTTTAAAGATTAATATATATATATTTACTTTTAAAATATATTTTCAAAAATAATGTTTAATAGATATTTATCACGAATGACAAATTTTAGTTAAGTAAATTTTTATTCATATTTTAAAAATAAATAAATAAATAAATAAATAAATAAATAAATAAATAAATAAATAAAACGATCAAATATTGTATTATTCAATATTAGTAGAAAAGCAACAAATTTATTACGTTAATAAACAATCACATGTAATTTTGAATAACATTGAAAAAGTAACGTTTTGTATAGGATGAAATTTTATCCTTAATATGAAGGTTAAATGGAAAAAGCTTAAAGATTAATTAATATCCTCAAATTTTATCATTTTTCAAATGAATGTTAACGAACTGGATATGAAACTATTCGAATGGGGAAAAGTTTGACGTTTATAATTCAAATGATTATTCGAATAATCGAGAGAGAACATTGAGTTCGTTTCCTAATCACGCTCGACGTAGCTTTCTCCAAACTTTACAAATCATTGAATACGAATAACCTTCTGTATGCAGAAGTTGAGAAAAGGTAAGCTCACGTTGGATGCGAAACACAATGGAGTTTAGCAATAGAGGTACGCATCGTTGCGTCCTCGAATTCAAGTTACGCGAAAGGACGTAGATTTCGGTTTCGATTTGACAAATCTAAATTTCACATATTCATAGACTTAACTTTAAAAATAATAGAACGTAGTATTAATAGCAGTAATTGTGGTAGGAATTAGTAGGTATAGAAAATATGATGTTTATTAAAAGGAGCTGAAATCTCACGTTCTCTTTTTACCTATCTCTTTTTAAAAATCCCTGATTACGATATTGTGGTGACTCACGTAGATTTTTGATTTTAATTTCACTGTATTCATGATCGTACAAGCTATGAAGGGTGTCATTCAAGAGAAGAGTATTTCTCGTGGTTAACAACACGGAACGAAATAGTGGAAGATTCATATGCATATACACACACATATATATATATATACATATATATATATATATATATATATATATATATATGTAGAAAAAGGAGGAGAATAAAAAGGGAAAGAAAAACTCAGTCGAAGAGAGGCCAATAAGAGTGTGGAAATGGTGATATTTTTCAGTTACTATTTTCGACCGATAGACCAGCCAGCCTTAGAGCTTTATGAAATATTTGACAGAAATAGCGAGTACAAGAGCGGCATAAATTTTGACTAGAGAGCCCCATGGTAACACGGAACACATAGAAACGTGTCATATCTAACGTAAGAACGGAGGGCATCAAGGCGAGGTAACAGAATGGCCGTCGAGCTTATCGTATATGTTCCAACGTAAAAAAGGAGGTTATTTTTTATTATTGATTCGAGTAACTTTTGACTGAATCATTTTTGATCATGTAAGGCGTAGATAAATGTCTTTGACATATCGATATATATATATATATAAGTATATATATAATCAATAGTTTCGAAAGAAAAATTGTATAAGATTACTTATTAAACATATATATATATATATATATATATATATATATATATATATGTATGTATGTATTAATTAGACAATTAGTTAAAGTTAAAGTGTAGGTAATATTATCTCCTTCGTAACGTAAATAATTAACTGGCTAATTAATCGATTGATTGATTAAGAAAAAATTTCTTTTTATTTTTTCGTTTTTATTTGGTATACAATAAGGTTCCTATTTTGTATAAAAGAAGATATAAAAGAGAAGATGATGCTTTAAGCGAAGATAATCGAATATATTCGTAGAGCTTCGGATTCTTACGTAAGTCGTAGGAGTCGTATTGTCAAACGACATAACTGTGTCGGGAG